AACAAGAACCCAACAGATCCCTACACCTAACAAGAACCCAACAGATCCCTACACCTAACAAGAACCCAACAGATCCCTACACCTAATACTTTAGTAACTTTCCTGATAAATTCATCAAAGTTTCTCCCATTGAGCAGGCAGTCAGCTGTTCCTCACATATCCACATTAACTTTTATTGTCGTGTGACAGGTTTTTTCCTATCCAGCCAGTGAGGCACCAACATCACAAGAGAGCACATCATCCTCAGTAGGCAGGGCCTGTAGCCCTTCAGCAAGAAGTACTATATGGAGATGGAGACCTCCACGCCCTCAGCACCCTATCGTGTTAACAATATCCCTTACTTATTGTGGGCTGATCAGGTCTGCAATCTCCCAAGGGAGTGTATGGCGAAGTCTAAATAAAAAGAGACGAATGGAAAGATTTTAGGGCTCCAGCAAGAGCCCTCTCTTAGAATTCGACATTCTCTTAGCGCTAAGACCAAGACCCTCTGTGGGTGGCCCACATTATTTAGTTATCAAAAGAAGGGAGGGGAGTATTCAAGAAGGATGGAACCACTCTAGGACTTCTCCAAGTAACGTATTAAGTTAATCCACCCAGGAGTGAGATTCTTGAGATTACAGTCTTTATCTAGTTGAGGTCAGATCCAGATGTCCTTGGCTGTGATCTTGTCTTGTCCTTTGAGGCTTCATAGATTCACCCGCCATTACAGGCCTCAGGAGGGATCAATGACTCTCAGAGGTTCACTGAGTCTACCACCCATCTCCAGATAAGGAGCCTAGGCCTTTGTCCTGCTTACTTTTCTCTGATTGCTGAGACAAAACACCTGATGCCCAAAATTAAGTAAGAAAAGGTTTATTTAGCTCATAGTTTGTGGAGATTTCAGCCCATACTTGGCTGGCTCCAAGGTAGAGTGGCACATGGCAGAGGGCAACTGTTCATGGCAGCAGAAAACAGCAAAGGCAACCAGAGCAAAATGGAGGAGCAGCAGTGGGAAGAGCATGGCCCTATGACTGCATGAGGATTTGGGGGGACATTCAGACACAAACCATAACAGCCTTGAACAGACTCACAAGTAAATATGAAAAGCCAATTGGTTAATTTAAGTCCTGCTCAGGACTGCTTTGTAGTACTCTTCAATCAGCACCGCATAAAGAAGAATGGATATTTATATCTATTAGGGGGAAATGAGGCAGAAGATTAGGGTGTGGCAAACTGGCTGGGGAAGTGGGTGTGATGTGTCAATTGCAGAGATCCAGGAGACTAGCACCAAACCCTGAACCTGGAACCAACCAGAAAGTGCTATTTTCAACTCTTCTCGGGGTTTTGATAGGCCCACCTAGACCTGACCTCAGCCTGAGGAGCAGGAGATACAACAAAAGGCACCACCCGTTAAGCTGGTAGCCAGTTACCTCTTTCAGTGGCCCACCTTGCACTTTGCAGGGTGTAACTGTTTTCTTAGTTTTAATTGGCACACTCACTCTGCAGAGTACATTTCTTTTCCTACCTTTGATACTTTTAATAAATGTCAAACCTCACTACCTTTTATGCTTTTGATTGAGTCTTTGTTTAGGACAGTGAGAACCTAGAAAACACCTCTAGAAGGAGACCTTAGAACATTGTTGCCCTCTGGTAACAATGGTATTTGTTATGTAGGCAAAGCCCTTATTAGAAAAACATACAGAAGCGTTCACATGTGAAGTAAAATATGTCTAGGATTTGCTTTAAAATACTCCAGTTTTTTTAAAAGAGAAGGGGATAGCAACATAGGAGAGTCAAGTAGGAAAATGTTGATAATTGTTCAAGAGAAGTGGTTCGTGATATTTTTCTCTATTTTTGTATAGGTTTGAAATTTTATAACTTAAAAAAGGTCATGATGGTATCCCATTTCACATTCAGGGGTACCATCGTGATATAAAACTTAAAACTTAGAATTTTTTAAGTTTGGATTTGTCACTGCTTATTATACAATCTATTTTCACTAACTTTCTAACTAAAAATAGTATGTATGGAAGTCACCAAATTTGAAATAAAAAATTTTAAAGCCAACTCAAGTGGAAGGAGAACTGGGGATTTAGCTCAGCGGCACAGCGCCTGCCTGGAAAGTGCAAGGTCGTGAGTTCGATTCCTGGTACTGGAAGATAAACAAAACAAACAAACAAAAAACAAGTCAAAGGAGAGATTGGCTAAGCCCACAATTTCTTTCTGCTCAAGCGTTCAGAAATGAGGCCCTTAAGAAATAGGGAGATCTGTGTTTTTATGGACAGTCATGCAAATATGATTGGAAGACAAAAATATAAAAATGGTAACGTACAGGGGGCGGAGCACTTAGCCAGGCCTACTGGTTTAATTTCTTCTTGGCACTCTTTTGCGACATTCTTTCTTTTTGGGTATAGCAAACATTTGTCATAGAAGTCTTCAGGGGTTCGGGGTGACCTTCCTAGGTTTTATGGCCTGACCGGGGAAGAAGGGCGGCAGGCAGCCTGCTATGACCGGCTCCGGGGGAGAAAGAGCAAGAGAAGGTCAGAAGGTCTTCCAGCTCCCGGTGAGTCCTGTTTCCAAGGTGCCCTATCATGGGTGGCTTCCTGCACGGGTTGTGTGCAGTCTCATTTCTGGAGGGCAGTCTGTAGGTCTTCCTCAGGTCAAACAGGGTCTGACACAGAAGACGCAGGAGGGGGTCGGAGAAATGAGCGGCGCTGGCCCCCAGGCCGCTGTGGGAGCGCAGGGAGGACCAGGACCCCCCAGCGTGGGCGAGGAGCAGGTGTGAGTGGAAGGCGCCGCGGGGGCAGGAGGAGCAGAAAGGGTCTGCAGGTGGGGCCGGTCCCTGCGGCTTCAAACACACTTTCTTCCCGCTCCCCAGCTGCAAGAGCCGGCTGCGGCGGGCCTAGGGGTGCTGACTCCGAGCACGGGCCCGACAGCTGGGCCAGCACACACGGCACTTGGTATTCCCAACTCCCCAGCCCCAGCAGGGTCGAGAGGAGGCTGGCTTTGAAGGTTGAGGACCCGGTCTCACCAGGACCGAGCACCCCACCCCACCCCAGCGCCTCAGCCGCCGCAGCCGCGGGCCCGTCGGCCTCCCCCACCGGGCGCACGGCTGAGCTCGGCGGCGGGGAAGGCCTGGTCCTGCCCGCGCGGGGCTGCAGGCGGGGCAGCGCGGCGAGCCCCGGTTTCCTCCCGCAGACGCGGACAGGATTCACGCAGAGCGCCTCGGGCGCTGAGGTCGCTGCGGCGATGGTAATTCTGTAAGCGGCCCCCAGGACATTCGCTAGGATTCGCTCCGGCGCTGGAAGCGAATTTAGGCCACGCTGGGGGCGGGGAGCCGTCGCCAACGTTGAGCGCCCGGAAAGCTCGGGGGTCTCGGAGGCCACAGGGTCCTGCCCGCGAGTCCGACGCCCGGGCCTCCGTGGGCCGCAGAAGCCCGCTCCTTCGCAGCCCGCAACCGGGCGCCACACGCCCCAATCTCCGCCAGCCTCGCCGCTTCGGTTTCGGTTTCCTGCCGCCCCCTCCCCCGCCCTCCACGCCGCAGCTGCCGGGGATTTGCCCAGAGATCCGTGACGTAACGAAGTCCAAGTTCTCATTGGGCGGCGGAGTTCGGCAGGGCCAATCCCGGCGCTGGTCCGGAGAAATCTCGTCCGAGGACACCGAGGAGCCCGGAGATTGCGGGGCGGGGCGGCGCCGCGCTGGTTCCGGCGAGGCGCGGGGTCCTGTGCGACCGGCGCTGAGAGACGCGGCCCGGCCCGCCCG